TTTTCCACGACCAGACATTTTGCGTTATTTATTTCACTTAATTCACTTTAGACACTAAAAACGAATGCTGCTCGCCGGTCGGTAGCCACATATTTATACTTTTTCGTCTGCCTTCTGCGTTCAGTTAGGGGTGGGTGCCTTAGACCTGAAAAGTTTGCTCGAAAAAAAGTATAAGGTCTGGAAAGGAAAAATTTGTATTTTATAAGTGAATTGTGTTTGTGAAATCATAAGTGAAGTGAAAATGCCGCCAAAAACTAGTGGAAAGGCAGCCAAGAAGGCTGGTAAGGCTCAGAAGAACATTACCAAGACCGATAAGAAGAAGAAGCGCAAGAGGAAGGAGAGCTACGCCATCTACATTTACAAGGTCCTGAAGCAGGTCCATCCCGATACCGGCATTTCGTCGAAGGCGATGAGCATTATGAACAGCTTTGTGAATGATATCTTCGAACGTATTGCTGCCGAAGCGTCTCGCCTGGCTCACTACAATAAGCGCTCTACCATCACCAGTCGGGAAATCCAAACGGCTGTTCGTCTGCTCCTACCCGGAGAGCTGGCCAAGCACGCCGTCAGTGAGGGAACCAAGGCTGTCACCAAGTACACCAGCTCTAAATAATTTCCTCAACGCGGATGCGGAGAAAGATCCAAAACGGCCCTTTTCAGGGCCACAATATATTATACCAAAGAAACAACATTTTCAATATACTATTTACCGTAACATTTTAAAATATGGATTTTATGATAACTTTATTTGTATTTTTTAATTGGTTTTATAAAATTTTTATTTTATAATCCAATATGAATTTTAAAAGAGATCAGTCGATTAGGCGTCAAATAGGCAATAGTGTCTCGAACTTATAAAGAATAATACGCTTGGCTACGTAGCGATGTCGTCGCATAAATGTAATTTGATTGGTCTCGTGTTGCCACTGCCAGCTTTACAAATTAAACGGATTTCAATTGAAAGTTTTTTTTCTCTAGTTAACAAAATTTGTAGCCCTGAAAAGGGCTTGTTTAAACTAATTTCAGATTTCGAAATCTAAAATCAAGATTGCGAGTGTGTACCAGGGTACTCTTTCACAATTTACTTCTTGGCAGCCGTAGTTTTTGCTTTTGGCTTCTTAGCGGTAGCAGGAGCAGTTGGTTTTTTCACAACTTTTTGGGCTTAGCTGACGCCGCTGGTTTGGCTTTTGGTGCTTTGACCGCCTTCGGCTTCGCTGCGGTCGATTTGGCCTTTGTTGCTGTTGTCGCTGGCTTTGCCTTAACAGCTCCAGTTTTCTTGGCATCCTTGGCCTTTGCCTTTTCGGTTTTCTTCTTTTCGGCAGTCTTTTTGGTGGCCACCGACTTCTTAGGTTTGGGCTTCTTCTCAGCACCTCCGGCGGTAGCTTTCTTGGCGGTGGCTCCAGTTTTCTTTGTAGCTATCTTTTTGCTTTTCACTTTCTTTTCAGCAGACGCAACCTTCGGCTTGGGATCCTTTTTGGCCGAGGCTGACAGTTTGAATGACCCGGATGCTCCCTTTCCCTTTGTTTGAATCAGCTTTCCATTGACCACGGCTGATTTCAAGTACTTCTTGATGAATGGAGCCAGCTTCTGTGCATCACATTTGTAGGTGGCAGTGATATATTTCTTAATGGCCAGAAGTGATGAGCCGCCACGTTCTTTTAAATTCTTGATGGAAGCGTCCACCATTTGTTGAGTTGGCGGATGCGATGGCGGTGCAGCAGCCTTCTTGGCCTTTGTAGTAGCGGATCCAGATGATTTTTTGGTGGACACCTTCTTTTCAACTGGCGCTGGTGGGGCAGCCACCGGAGAAGCGGACGTTGCAGCAGCAGAATCAGACATTTCTTTCACTTAAACACACTTTTTTGTTTAGAAAACGGCGCGCGCGATTGATACCGACCTCCTTCGCTCGGATGAGAATCGAGGAGGAGAGCACTTAAACTATGGGTCTGCCATCAGTCATATACGCCGTTGATGTTTGCTTGAAGTGCAAACTTATTTTATTATTTTTAATGATTAAAATCATTATTTCAAACTATGTTTTTATATTTATACATTCTTAAATAATTCATTAAGACTTTGGCCGTTACAACATGTTAATATTTGATTCGGTTGATTTTTTATTGCTATAGGAATTTGAACATTGACATTTGTAACTTGTACAATTTATATAAAAATATATTTTAAAATAAGAAATCTCAAACATTTTCTACAAGTTAATATTAAATATTAATATTTAAACCTTTTACTATGAGAATTAGAATAAATGTTATCAGTTATCTTTCATTTTGGTATTTTAAAGTTGCTTTCAAGTTGACTCTTGGCTACATAAAAAGTTGGCTTTCAGGTTATATTCGGCAATAGTTTTCGTACCGTTAAAAATAAAAATATTTAAAAATTGTATATTTTTTTGCTAATTGCTTGCTTAAATTATCCATCTGCATTCGTTTATTAAAATTGTTAGTCCTGTTTCGTTATAGTTTGTCCAAAATATGCTAATTTGTGTCCCATATGTAAGCAGCGATGAAGTCGCTCTGAAGTCTACATCAATAAAAAAATAGAAAATATGTATTTTTAATTATTTTTATTGATTAAATTAATAAATAATGAGTTAATAAACGCTGGTGATTTGTTTCGAGAATGGTTTTAACATTATTTCGATTTTTTAATGTTGGTTGAAAATGGTCATGTTTGTCCCATACAGCCTTCCCCCTTTCAAATATGCCAATATACTTTGTAGTCTTGTGGCATTTTTTTTATAAACCAAATAGTACAATTCAGAAATTTGTTTATTCCATCTTATTGTATTTTGACTTCTTGTCGAATATTAAAAACGGTCATAGTTGCAATGAAGCTAAAATTCATGAAAAAATATGTGATAAACATTTTTGAATAATTGGTTTTATTTCATAAATAATGATTTTATCGATGTATCTCAATTATTTTTAAATGTTTTTAACATTTGTTCAACTTATTACTGGTGATTGAAAATCATTATCCCTGACCTACAAAACATTCTCTCGTATAATAGTGATTTATGTTCACTATGTCCCCATCCTTGACCCGAATAATTTTTTAAAAATTAAAATTAAGTTAACAATATAACATTTTTAGAAGCCGGTAGAAGAAAAATTTATCTCATTGAATGTAATTTGTGGTCCTGAAAAGGACCGATTTTTACAAAAGATGGCGCATTGGCCGTAAGTTTAAGCAGTCATAGCTTAAGCGCGCTCTCCACGAATTCGCCGGGCCAACTGGATGTCCTTCGGCATGATGGTGACACGCTTGGCATGAATGGCACACAAGTTGGTATCTTCAAAGAGGCCCACCAGATAGGCTTCGCTAGCTTCTTGCAGAGCCATCACAGCCGAGCTCTGGAATCGCAAGTCAGTCTTGAAATCCTGAGCAATTTCACGAACGAGGCGCTGGAAAGGCAGTTTGCGGATCAGCAGCTCGGTACTCTTCTGGTAGCGACGGATCTCACGCAGGGCCACGGTTCCGGGGCGATAGCGATGAGGCTTCTTCACGCCTCCGGTAGCTGGGGCGCTCTTGCGAGCAGCCTTGGTAGCCAGTTGTTTGCGTGGCGCTTTGCCACCAGTAGACTTGCGAGCGGTTTGCTTGGTACGAGCCATCGTCAATTTTATTTCTTGCTGCTGCACACTGTTCACTTCACGTTTAAAAACACAATAACCGACTGTCGATTCGGCTACCTACTTATATAGGAAAACGGCAGGGTTAAAAAGAGAGAGAAGCAGAGGCATCTCATTTGCCGACAGAAAAACGAGACGGAGATATCGTTCGGACTCGCTCGTGTTTCCGGGGATTTAGGTATAAATAAGGGAGCACAAAAAATTTTGGTATTAGTTCTTCAGTGACTTTCGTGCGGTGTGTTAATATTAAAGAAAAAGTGAAAAATGACTGGTCGTGGTAAAGGAGGCAAAGGTTTGGGAAAAGGTGGCGCCAAGCGTCATCGCAAAGTGCTGCGAGATAATATCCAGGGTATAACGAAGCCAGCTATCCGTCGTTTGGCTCGTCGTGGCGGGGTGAAGCGCATTTCTGGTCTCATTTACGAGGAAACACGTGGCGTTCTGAAGGTGTTCTTGGAGAACGTTATCCGAGATGCCGTCACTTACACCGAACACGCCAAGAGGAAAACTGTCACAGCCATGGATGTTGTGTACGCCCTGAAGAGGCAAGGCCGCACACTGTACGGCTTCGGCGGTTAAAAAAAATTAGTACGACTTGTACTTCATTCAGCAATCGGTCCTTTTCAGGACCACCATTTCATTTTCCAATAGATAAAAGTTTTCAAAAAGATTTTTCGTTTCTTTGGCGTCTTCTGGGAACTTACATGAATGTAGATAGTTATTATACGAGAGTATTAGAATAAATAATTTATGCCGTTTGGTCGCGTGATTCAAGTAGAAGAATGTTATCTTTTATATATCGTGCTCGCTCTCAACTATATATTTTGTACAGACTGTACTGTACGCCATTCAGACACCGGCTAATGTATTAAGACAACAAAATATTTTTTTTTCCAGTTTGTGTCTGACTGCGTGCTGCCTGCAGCAGCGGTCTGTTAAACCCCAAAAGACAAAAGGTTTTGCATTTCCGATCTTAGGTAATTACTTATATTATACATATTCGAAAATCTTCATAATTCTTTGGTAAAAATATGGTCGTCCTGAAAAGGACGGTTGGGTTTATGTTTCTATGTACAAGTATATAGCTGGCTTCACTTATTTAAACGTTTAAGCCTTCTTCTCGGTCTTCTTGGGCAACAGAACTGCCTGGATATTGGGCAATACACCACCCTGGGCAATGGTAACGCCAGAGAGCAGCTTGTTCAACTCCTCGTCGTTGCGAATGGCAAGCTGCAGATGACGCGGAATAATCCTAGTCTTCTTGTTGTCACGGGCAGCATTGCCAGCCAACTCGAGAACCTCAGCGGCGAGATATTCCATCACGGCAGCCAGGTAAACTGGAGCTCCGGCACCAACACGCTCGGCATAGTTGCCCTTTCGGAGCAGACGGTGAATACGGCCCACTGGGAACTGAAGACCGGCACGGTTAGAGCGGGACTTTGCCTTTCCCTTCACTTTGCCACCTTTTCCACGACCAGACATTTTGCGTTATTTATTTCACTTAATTCACTTTAGACACTAAAAACGAATGCTGCTCGCCGGTCGGTAGCCACATATTTATACTTTTTCGTCTGCCTTCTGCGTTCAGTTAAGGGTGGGTGCCTTAGACCTGAAAAGTTTGCTCGAAAAAAAGTATAAGGTCTGGAAAGGAAAAATTTGTATTTTATAAGTGAATTGTGTTTGTGAAATCATAAGTGAAGTGAAAATGCCGCCAAAAACTAGTGGAAAGGCAGCCAAGAAGGCTGGTAAGGCTCAGAAGAACATTACCAAGACCGATAAGAAGAAGAAGCGCAAGAGGAAGGAGAGCTACGCCATCTACATTTACAAGGTCCTGAAGCAGGTCCATCCCGATACCGGCATTTCGTCGAAGGCGATGAGCATTATGAACAGCTTTGTGAATGATATCTTCGAACGTATTGCTGCCGAAGCGTCTCGCCTGGCTCACTACAATAAGCGCTCTACCATCACCAGTCGGGAAATCCAAACGGCTGTTCGTCTGCTCCTACCCGGAGAGCTGGCCAAGCACGCCGTCAGTGAGGGAACCAAGGCTGTCACCAAGTACACCAGCTCTAAATAATTTCCTCAACGCGGATGCGGAGAAAGATCCAAAAACGGCCCTTTTCAGGGCCACAATATATTATACCAAAGAAACAACATTTTCAATATACTATTTACCGTAACATTTTAAAATATGGATTTTATGATAACTTTATTTGTATTTTTTAATTGGTTTTATAAAATTTTTATTTTATAATCCAATATGAATTTTAAAAGAGATCAGTCGATTAGGCGTCAAATAGGCAATAGTGTCTCGAACTTATAAAGAATAATACGCTTGGCTACGTAGCGATGTCGTCGCATAAATGTAATTTGATTGGTCTCGTGTTGCCACTGCCAGCTTTACAAATTAAACGGATTTCAATTGAAAGTTTTTTTTCTCTAGTTAACAAAATTTGTAGCCCTGAAAAGGGCTTGTTTAAACTAATTTCAGATTTCGAAATCTAAAATCAAGATTGCGAGTGTGTACCAGGGTACTCTTTCACAATTTACTTCTTGGCAGCCGTAGTTTTTGCTTTTGGCTTCTTAGCGGTAGCAGGAGCAGTTGGTTTTTTCACAACTTTTTTGGGCTTAGCTGACGCCGCTGGTTTGGCTTTTGGTGCTTTGACCGCCTTCGGCTTCGCTGCGGTCGATTTGGCCTTTGTTGCTGTTGTCGCTGGCTTTGCCTTAACAGCTCCAGTTTTCTTGGCATCCTTGGCCTTTGCCTTTTCGGTTTTCTTCTTTTCGGCAGTCTTTTTGGTGGCCACCGACTTCTTAGGTTTGGGCTTCTTCTCAGCACCTCCGGCGGTAGCTTTCTTGGCGGTGGCTCCAGTTTTCTTTGTAGCTATCTTTTTGCTTTTCACTTTCTTTTCAGCAGACGCAACCTTCGGCTTGGGATCCTTTTTGGCCGAGGCTGACAGTTTGAATGACCCGGATGCTCCCTTTCCCTTTGTTTGAATCAGCTTTCCATTGACCACGGCTGATTTCAAGTACTTCTTGATGAATGGAGCCAGCTTCTGTGCATCACATTTGTAGGTGGCAGTGATATATTTCTTAATGGCCAGAAGTGATGAGCCGCCACGTTCTTTTAAATTCTTGATGGAAGCGTCCACCATTTGTTGAGTTGGCGGATGCGATGGCGGTGCAGCAGCCTTCTTGGCCTTTGTAGTAGCGGATCCAGATGATTTTTGGTGGACACCTTCTTTTCAACTGGCGCTGGTGGGGCAGCCACCGGAGAAGCGGACGTTGCAGCAGCAGAATCAGACATTTCTTTCACTTAAACACACTTTTTTGTTTAGAAAACGGCGCGCGCGATTGATACCGACCTCCTTCGCTCGGATGAGAATCGAGGAGGAGAGCACTTAAACTATGGGTCTGCCATCAGTCATATACGCCGTTGATGTTTGCTTGAAGTGCAAACTTATTTTATTATTTTTAATGATTAAAATCATTATTTCAAACTATGTTTTTATATTTATACATTCTTAAATAATTCATTAAGACTTTGGCCGTTACAACATGTTAATATTTGATTCGGTTGATTTTTTATTGCTATAGGAATTTGAACATTGACATTTGTAACTTGTACAATTTATATAAAAATATATTTTAAAATAAGAAATCTCAAACATTTTCTACAAGTTAATATTAAATATTAATATTTAAACCTTTTACTATGAGAATTAGAATAAATGTTATCAGTTATCTTTCATTTTGGTATTTTAAAGTTGCTTTCAAGTTGACTCTTGGCTACATAAAAAGTTGGCTTTCAGGTTATATTCGGCAATAGTTTTCGTACCGTAAAAAATAAAAATATTTAAAAATTGTATATTTTTTTGCTAATTGCTTGCTTAAATTATCCATCTGCATTCGTTTATTAAAATTGTTAGTCATGTTTCGTTATAGTTTGTCCAAAATATGCTAATTTGTGTCCCATATGTAAGCAGCGATGAAGTCGCTCTGAAGTCTACATCAATAAAAAAATAGAAAATATGTATTTTTAATTATTTTTATTGATTAAATTAATAAATAATGAGTTAATAAACGCTGGTGATTTGTTTCGAGAATGGTTTTAACATTATTTCGATTTTTTAATGTTGGTTGAAAATGGTCATGTTTGTCCCATACAGCCTTCCCCCTTTCAAATATGCCAATATACTTTGTAGTCTTGTGGCATTTTTTTTATAAACCAAATAGTAAAATTCAGAAATTTGTTTATTCCATCTTATTGTATTTTGACTTCTTGTCGAATATTAAAAACGGTCATAGTTGCACTGAAGCTAAAATTCATGAAAAATATGTGATAAACATTTTTGAATAATTGGTTTTATTTCATAAATAATGATTTTATCGATGTATCTCAATTATTTTTAAATGTTTTTAACATTTGTTCAACTTATTACTGGTGATTGAAAATCATTATCCCTGACCTACAAAACATTCTCTCGTATAATAGTGATTTATGTTCACTATGTCCCCATCCTTGACCCGAATAATTTTTTAAAAATTAAAATTAAGTTAACAATATAACATTTTTAGAAGCCGGTAGAAGAAAAATTTATCTCATTGAATGTAATTTGTGGTCCTGAAAAGGACCGATTTTTACAAAAGATGGCGCATTGGCCGTAAGTTTAAGCAGTCATAGCTTAAGCGCGCTCTCCACGAATTCGCCGGGCCAACTGGATGTCCTTCGGGCATGATGGTGACACGCTTGGCATGAATGGCACACAAGTTGGTATCTTCAAAGAGGCCCACCAGATAGGCTTCGCTAGCTTCTTGCAGAGCCATCACAGCCGAGCTCTGGAATCGCAAGTCAGTCTTGAAATCCTGAGCAATTTCACGAACGAGGCGCTGGAAAGGCAGTTTGCGGATCAGCAGCTCGGTACTCTTCTGGTAGCGACGGATCTCACGCAGGGCCACGGTTCCGGGGCGATAGCGATGAGGCTTCTTCACGCCTCCGGTAGCTGGGGCGCTCTTGCGAGCAGCCTTGGTAGCCAGTTGTTTGCGTGGCGCTTTGCCACCAGTAGACTTGCGAGCGGTTTGCTTGGTACGAGCCATCGTCAATTTTATTTCTTGCTGCTGCACACTGTTCACTTCACGTTTAAAAACACAATAACCGACTGTCGATTCGGCTACCTACTTATATAGGAAAACGGCAGGGTTAAAAAGAGAGAGAAGCAGAGGCATCTCATTTGCCGACAGAAAAACGAGACGGAGATATCGTTCGGACTCGCTCGTGTTTCCGGGGATTTAGGTATAAATAAGGGAGCACAAAAAATTTTGGTATTAGTTCTTCAGTGACTTTCGTGCGGTGTGTTAATATTAAAGAAAAAGTGAAAAATGACTGGTCGTGGTAAAGGAGGCAAAGGTTTGGGAAAAGGTGGCGCCAAGCGTCATCGCAAAGTGCTGCGAGATAATATCCAGGGTATAACGAAGCCAGCTATCCGTCGTTTGGCTCGTCGTGGCGGGGTGAAGCGCATTTCTGGTCTCATTTACGAGGAAACACGTGGCGTTCTGAAGGTGTTCTTGGAGAACGTTATCCGAGATGCCGTCACTTACACCGAACACGCCAAGAGGAAAACTGTCACAGCCATGGATGTTGTGTACGCCCTGAAGAGGCAAGGCCGCACACTGTACGGCTTCGGCGGTTAAAAAAAATTAGTACGACTTGTACTTCATTCAGCAATCGGTCCTTTTCAGGACCACCATTTCATTTTCCAATAGATAAAAGTTTTCAAAAAGATTTTTCGTTTCTTTGGCGTCTTCTGGGATCTTACATGAATGTAGATAGTTATTATACGAGAGTATTAGAATAAATAATTTATGCCGTTTTATCTTTTATATATCGTGCTCGCTCTCAACTATATATTTTGTACAGACTGTACTGTACGCCATTCAGACACCTGCTAATGTATTAAGACAACAAAATATTTTTTTTCCAGTTTGTGGCTGACTGCGTGCTGCCTGCAGCAGCGGTCTGTTAAACCCCAAAAGACAAAAGGTTTTGCATTTCCGATCTTAGGTAATTACTTATATTATACATATTCGAAAATCTTCATAATTCTTTGGTAAAAATATGGTCGTCCTGAAAAGGACGGTTGGGTTTATGTTTCTATGTACAAGTATATAGCTGGCTTCACTTATTTAAACGTTTAAGCCTTCTTCTCGGTCTTCTTGGGCAACAGAACTGCCTGGATATTGGGCAATACACCACCCTGGGCAATGGTAACGCCAGAGAGCAGCTTGTTCAACTCCTCGTCGTTGCGAATGGCAAGCTGCAGATGACGCGGAATAATCCTAGTCTTCTTGTTGTCACGGGCAGCATTGCCAGCCAACTCGAGAACCTCAGCGGCGAGATATTCCATCACGGCAGCCAGGTAAACTGGAGCGCCGGCACCAACACGCTCGGCATAGTTGCCCTTTCGGAGCAGACGGTGAATACGGCCCACTGGGAACTGAAGACCGGCACGGTTAGAGCGGGACTTTGCCTTTCCCTTCACTTTGCCACCTTTTCCACGACCAGACATTTTGCGTTATTTATTTCACTTAATTCACTTTAGACACTAAAAACGAATGCTGCTCGCCGGTCGGTAGCCACATATTTATACTTTTTCGTCTGCCTTCTGCGTTCAGTTAGGGGTGGGTGCCTTAGACCTGAAAAGTTTGCTCGAAAAAAAGTATAAGGTCTGGAAAGGAAAAATTTGTATTTTATAAGTGAATTGTGTTTGTGAAATCATAAGTGAAGTGAAAATGCCGCCAAAAACTAGTGGAAAGGCAGCCAAGAAGGCTGGTAAGGCTCAGAAGAACATTACCAAGACCGATAAGAAGAAGAAGCGCAAGAGGAAGGAGAGCTACGCCATCTACATTTACAAGGTCCTGAAGCAGGTCCATCCCGATACCGGCATTTCGTCGAAGGCGATGAGCATTATGAACAGCTTTGTGAATGATATCTTCGAACGTATTGCTGCCGAAGCGTCTCGCCTGGCTCACTACAATAAGCGCTCTACCATCACCAGTCGGGAAATCCAAACGGCTGTTCGTCTGCTCCTACCCGGAGAGCTGGCCAAGCACGCCGTCAGTGAGGGAACCAAGGCTGTCACCAAGTACACCAGCTCTAAATAATTTCCTCAACGCGGATGCGGAGAAAGATCCAAAACGGCCCTTTTCAGGGCCACAATATATTATACCAAAGAAACAACATTTTCAATATACTATTTACCGTAACATTTTAAAATATGGATTTTATGATAACTTTATTTGTATTTTTTAATTGGTTTTATAAAATTTTTATTTTATAATCCAATAGGAATTTTAAAAAGAGATCAGTCGATTAGGCGTCAAATAGGCAATAGTGTCTCGAACTTATAAAGAATAATACGCTTGGCTACGTAGCGATGTCGTCGCATAAATGTAATTTGATTGGTCTCGTGTTGCCACTGCCAGCTTTACAAATTAAACGGATTTCAATTGAAAGTTTTTTTTCTCTAGTTAACAAAATTTGTAGCCCTGAAAAGGGCTTGTTTAAACTAATTTCAGATTTCGAAATCTAAAATCAAGATTGCGAGTGTGTACCAGGGTACTCTTTCACAATTTACTTCTTGGCAGCCGTAGTTTTTGCTTTTGGCTTCTTAGCGGTAGCAGGAGCAGTTGGTTTTTTCACAACTTTTTTGGGCTTAGCTGACGCCGCTGGTTTGGCTTTTGGTGCTTTGACCGCCTTCGGCTTCGCTGCGGTCGATTTGGCCTTTGTTGCTGTTGTCGCTGGCTTTGCCTTAACAGCTCCAGTTTTCTTGGCATCCTTGGCCTTTGCCTTTTCGGTTTTCTTCTTTTCGGCAGTCTTTTTGGTGGCCACCGACTTCTTAGGTTTGGGCTTCTTCTCAGCACCTCCGGCGGTAGCTTTCTTGGCGGTGGCTCCAGTTTTCTTTGTAGCTATCTTTTTGCTTTTCACTTTCTTTTCAGCAGACGCAACCTTCGGCTTGGGATCCTTTTTGGCCGAGGCTGACAGTTTGAATGACCCGGATGCTCCCTTTCCCTTTGTTTGAATCAGCTTTCCATTGACCACGGCTGATTTCAAGTACTTCTTGATGAATGGAGCCAGCTTCTGTGCATCACATTTGTAGGTGGCAGTGATATATTTCTTAATGGCCAGAAGTGATGAGCCGCCACGTTCTTTTAAATTCTTGATGGAAGCGTCCACCATTTGTTGAGTTGGCGGATGCGATGGCGGTGCAGCAGCCTTCTTGGCCTTTGTAGTAGCGGATCCAGATGATTTTTTGGTGGACACCTTCTTTTCAACTGGCGCTGGTGGGGCAGCCACCGGAGAAGCGGACGTTGCAGCAGCAGAATCAGACATTTCTTTCACTTAAACACACTTTTTTGTTTAGAAAACGGCGCGCGCGATTGATACCGACCTCCTTCGCTCGGATGAGAATCGAGGAGGAGAGCACTTAAACTATGGGTCTGCCATCAGTCATATACGCCGTTGATGTTTGCTTGAAGTGCAAACTTATTTTATTATTTTTAATGATTAAAATCATTATTTCAAACTATGTTTTTATATTTATACATTCTTAAATAATTCATTAAGACTTTGGCCGTTACAACATGTTAATATTTGATTCGGTTGATTTTTTATTGCTATAGGAATTTGAACATTGACATTTGTAACTTGTACAATTTATATAAAAATATATTTTAAAATAAGAAATCTCAAACATTTTCTACAAGTTAATATTAAATATTAATATTTAAACCTTTTACTATGAGAATTAGAATAAATGTTATCAGTTATCTTTCATTTTGGTATTTTAAAGTTGCTTTCAAGTTGACTCTTGGCTACATAAAAAGTTGGCTTTCAGGTTATATTCGGCAATAGTTTTCGTACCGTAAAAAATAAAAATATTTAAAAATTGTATATTTTTTTGCTAATTGCTTGCTTAAATTATCCATCTGCATTCGTTTATTAAAATTGTTAGTCATGTTTCGTTATAGTTTGTCCAAAATATGCTAATTTGTGTCCCATATGTAAGCAGCGATGAAGTCGCTCTGAAGTCTACATCAATAAAAAAATAGAAAATATGTATTTTTAATTATTTTTATTGATTAAATTAATAAATAATGAGTTAATAAACGCTGGTGATTTGTTTCGAGAATGGTTTTAACATTATTTCGATTTTTTAATGTTGGTTGAAAATGGTCATGTTTGTCCCATACAGCCTTCCCCCTTTCAAATATGCCAATATACTTTGTAGTCTTGTGGCATTTTTTTTATAAACCAAATAGTAAAATTCAGAAATTTGTTTATTCCATCTTATTGTATTTTGACTTCTTGTCGAATATTAAAAACGGTCATAGTTGCACTGAAGCTAAAATTCATGAAAAATATGTGATAAACATTTTTGAATAATTGGTTTTATTTCATAAATAATGATTTTATCGATGTATCTCAATTATTTTTAAATGTTTTTAACATTTGTTCAACTTATTACTGGTGATTGAAAATCATTATCCCTGACCTACAAAACATTCTCTCGTATAATAGTGATTTATGTTCACTATGTCCCCATCCTTGACCCGAATAATTTTTTAAAAATTAAAATTAAGTTAACAATATAACATTTTTAGAAGCCGGTAGAAGAAAAATTTATCTCATTGAATGTAATTTGTGGTCCTGAAAAGGACCGATTTTTACAAAAGATGGCGCATTGGCCGTAAGTTTAAGCAGTCATAGCTTAAGCGCGCTCTCCACGAATTCGCCGGGCCAACTGGATGTCCTTGGGCATGATGGTGACACGCTTGGCATGAATGGCACACAAGTTGGTATCTTCAAAGAGGCCCACCAGATAGGCTTCGCTAGCTTCTTGCAGAGCCATCACAGCCGAGCTCTGGAATCGCAAGTCAGTCTTGAAATCCTGAGCAATTTCACGAACGAGGCGCTGGAAAGGCAGTTTGCGGATCAGCAGCTCGGTACTCTTCTGGTAGCGACGGATCTCACGCAGGGCCACGGTTCCGGGGCGATAGCGATGAGGCTTCTTCACGCCTCCGGTAGCTGGGGCGCTCTTGCGAGCAGCCTTGGTAGCCAGTTGTTTGCGTGGCGCTTTGCCACCAGTAGACTTGCGAGCGGTTTGCTTGGTACGAGCCATCGTCAATTTTATTTCTTGCTGCTGCACACTGTTCACTTCACGTTTAAAAACACAATAACCGACTGTCGATTCGGCTACCTACTTATATAGGAAAACGGCAGGGTTAAAAAGAGAGAGAAGCAGAGGCATCTCATTTGCCGACAGAAAAACGAGACGGAGATATCGTTCGGACTCGCTCGTGTTTCCGGGGATTTAGGTATAAATAAGGGAGCACAAAAAATTTTGGTATTAGTTCTTCAGTGACTTTCGTGCGGTGTGTTAATATTAAAGAAAAAGTGAAAAATGACTGGTCGTGGTAAAGGAGGCAAAGGTTTGGGAAAAGGTGGCGCCAAGCGTCATCGCAAAGTGCTGCGAGATAATATCCAGGGTATAACGAAGCCAGCTATCCGTCGTTTGGCTCGTCGTGGCGGGGTGAAGCGCATTTCTGGTCTCATTTACGAGGAAACACGTGGCGTTCTGAAGGTGTTCTTGGAGAACGTTATCCGAGATGCCGTCACTTACACCGAACACGCCAAGAGGAAAACTGTCACAGCCATGGATGTTGTGTACGCCCTGAAGAGGCAAGGCCGCACACTGTACGGCTTCGGCGGTTAAAAAAAATTAGTACGACTTGTACTTCATTCAGCAATCGGTCCTTTTCAGGACCACCATTTCATTTTCCAATAGATAAAAGTTTTCAAAAAGATTTTTCGTTTCTTTGGCGTCTTCTGGGAACTTACATGAATGTAGATAGTTATTATACGAGAGTATTAGAATAAATAATTTATGCCGTTTGGTCGCGTGATTCAAGTAGAAGAATGTTATCTTTTATATATCGTGCTCGCTCTCAACAATATATTTTGTACAGACTGTACTGTACGCCATTCAGACACCGGCTAAATGTATTAAGACAACAACATTTTTTTTTTTTCCAGTTTGTGTCTGACTGCGTGCTGCCTGCAGCAGCGGTCTGTTAAACCCCAAAAGACAAAAGGTTTTGCATTTCCGATCTTAGGTAATTACTTATATTATACATATTCGAAAATCTTCATAATTCTTTGGTAAAAATATGGTCGTCCTGAAAAGGACGGTTGGGTTTATGTTTCTATGTACAAGTATATAGCTGGCTTCACTTATTTAAACGTTTAAGCCTTCTTCTCGGTCTTCTTGGGCAACAGAACTGCCTGGATATTGGGCAATACACCACCCTGGGCAATGGTAACGCCAGAGAGCAGCTTGTTCAACTCCTCGTCGTTGCGAATGGCAAGCTGCAGATGACGCGGAATAATCCTAGTCTTCTTGTTGTCACGGGCAGCATTGCCAGCCAACTCGAGAACCTCAGCGGCGAGATATTCCATCACGGCAGCCAGGTAAACTGGAGCGCCGGCACCAACACGCTCGGCATAGTTGCCCTTTCGGAGCAGACGGTGAATACGGCCCACTGGGAACTGAAGACCGGCACGGTTAGAGCGGGACTTTGCCTTTCCCTTCACTTTGCCACCTTTTCCACGACCAGACATTTTGCGTTATTTATTTCACTTAATTCACTTTAGACACTAAAAACGAATGCTGCTCGCCGGTCGGTAGCCACATATTTATACTTTTTCGTCTGCCTTCTGCGTTCAGTTAGGGGTGGGTGCCTTAGACCTGAAAAGTTTGCTCGAAAAAAAGTATAAGGTCTGGAAAGGAAAAATTTGTATTTTATAAGTGAATTGTGTTTGTGAAATCATAAGTGAAGTGAAAATGCCGCCAAAAACTAGTGGAAAGGCAGCCAAGAAGGCTGGTAAGGCTCAGAAGAACATTACCAAGACCGATAAGAAGAAGAAGCGCAAGAGGAAGGAGAGCTACGCCATCTACATTTACAAGGTCCTGAAGCAGGTCCATCCCGATACCGGCATTTCGTCGAAGGCGATGAGCATTATGAACAGCTTTGTGAATGATATCTTCGAACGTATTGCTGCCGAAGCGTCTCGCCTGGCTCACTACAATAAGCGCTCTACCATCACCAGTCGGGAAATCCAAACGGCTGTTCGTCTGCTCCTACCCGGAGAGCTGGCCAAGCACGCCGTCAGTGAGGGAACCAAGGCTGTCACCAAGTACACCAGCTCTAAATAATTTCCTCAACGCGGATGCGGAGAAAGATCCAAAACGGCCCTTTTCAGGGCCACAATATATTATACCAAAGAAACAACATTTTCAATATACTATTTACCGTAACATTTTAAAATATGGATTTTATGATAACTTTATTTGTATTTTTTAATTGGTTTTATAAAATTTTTATTTTATAATCCAATAGGAATTTTAAAAGAGATCAGTCGATTAGGCGTCAAATAGGCAATAGTGTCTCGAACTTATAAAGAATAATACGCTTGGCTACGTAGCGATGTCGTCGCATAAATGTAATTTGATTGGTCTCGTGTTGCCACTACCAGCTTTACAAATTAAACGGATTTCAATTGAAAGTTTTTTTTTCTCTAGTTAACAAAATTTGTAGCCCTGAAAAGGGCTTGTTTAAACTAATTTCAGATTTCGAAATCTAAAATCAAGATTGCGAGTGTGTACCAGGGTACTCTTTCACAATTTACTTCTTGGCAGCCGTAGTTTTTGCTTTTGGCTTCTTCGCGGTAGCAGGAGCAGTTGGTTTTTTCACAACTTTTTTGGGCTTAGCTGACGCCGCTGGTTTGGCTTTTGGTGCTTTGACCGCCTTCGGCTTCGCTGCGGTCGATTTGGCCTTTGTTGCTGTTGTCGCTGGCTTTGCCTTAACAGCTCCAGTTTTCTTGGCATCCTTGGCCTTTGCCTTTTCGGTTTTCTTCTTTTCGGCAGTCTTTTTGGTGGCCACCGACTTCTTAGGTTTGGGCTTCTTCTCAGCACCTCCGGCGGTAGCTTTCTTGGCGGTGGCTCCAGTTTTCTTTGTAGCTATCTTTTTGCTTTTCACTTTCTTTTCAGCAGACGCAACCTTCGGCTTGGGATCCTTTTTGGCCGAGGCTGACAGTTTGAATGACCCGGATGCTCCCTTTCCCTTTGTTTGAATCAGCTTTCCATTGACCACGGCTGATTTCAAGTACTTCTTGATGAATGGAGCCAGCTTCTGTGCATCACATTTGTAGGTGGCAGTGATATATTTCTTAATGGCCAGAAGTGATGAGCCGCCACGTTCTTTTAAATTCTTGATGGAAGCGTCCACCATTTGTTGAGTTGGCGGATGCGATGGCGGTGCAGCAGCCTTCTTGGCCTTTGTAGTAGCGGATCCAGATGATTTTTTGGTGGACACCTTCTTTTCAACTGGCGCTGGTGGGGCAGCCACCGGAGAAGCGGACGTTGCAGCAGCAGAATCAGACATTTCTTTCACTTAAACACACTTTTTTGTTTAGAAAACGGCGCGCGCGATTGATACCGACCTCCTTCGCTCGGATGAGAATCGAGGAGGAGAGCACTTAAACTATGGGTCTGCCATCAGTCATATACGCCGTTGATGTTTGCTTGAAGTGCAAACTTATTTTATTATTTTTAATGATTAAAATCATTATTTCAAACTATGTTTTTATATTTATACATTCTTAAATAATTCATTAAGACTTTGGCCGTTACAACATGTTAATATTTGATTCGGTTGATTTTTTATTGCTATAGGAATTTGAACATTGACATTTGTAACTTGTACAATTTATATAAAAATATATTTTAAAATAAGAAATCTCAAACATTTTCTACAAGTTAATATTAAATATTAATATTTAAACCTTTTACTATGAGAATTAGAATAAATGTTATCAGTTATCTTTCATTTTGGTATTTTAAAGTTGCTTTCAAGTTGACTCTTGGCTACATAAAAAGTTGGCTTTCAGGTTATATTCGGCAATAGTTTTCGTACCGAAAAAAATAAAAATATTTAAAAATTGTATATTTTTTTGCTAATTGCTTGCTTAAATTATCCATCTGCATTCGTTTATTAAAATTGTTAGTCATGTTTCGTTATAGTTTGTCCAAAATATGCTAATTTGTGTCCCATATGTAAGCAGCGATGAAGTCGCTCTGAAGTCTACATCAATAAAAAAATAGAAAATATGTATTTTTAATTATTTTTATTGATTAAATTAATAAATAATGAGTTAATAAACGCTGGTGATTTGTTTCGAGAATGGTTTTAACATTATTTCGATTTTTTAATGTTGGTTGAAAATGGTCATGTTTGTCCCGTACAGCCTTCCCCCTTTCAAATATGCCAATATACTTTGTAGTCTTGTGGCATTTTTTTATAAACCAAATAGTAAAATTCAGAAATTTGTTTATTCCATTTTATTGTATTTTGACTTCTTGTCGAATATTAAAAACGGTCATAGTTGCACTGAAGCTAAAATTCATGAAAAATATGTGATAAACATTTTTGAATAATTGGTTTTATTTCATAAATAATGATTTTATCGATGTATCTCAATTATTTTTAAATGTTTTTAACATTTGTTCAACTTATTACTGGTGATTGAAAATCATTATCCCTGACCTACAAAACATTCTCTCGTATAATAGTGATTTATGTTCACTATGTCCCCATCCTTGACCCGAATAATTTTTTAAAAATTAAAATTAAGTTAACAATATAACATTTTTAGAAGCCGGTAGAAGAAAAATTTATCTCATTGAATGTAATTTGTGGTCCTGAAAAGGACCGATTTTTACAAAAGATGGCGCATTGGCCGTAAGTTTAAGCAGTCATAGCTTAAGCGCGCTCTCCACGAATTCGCCGGGCCAACTGGATGTCCTTCGGGCATGATGGTGACACGCTTGGCATGAATGGCACACAAGTTGGTATCTTCAAAGAGGCCCACCAGATAGGCTTCGCTAGCTTCTTGCAGAGCCATCACAGCCGAGCTCTGGAATCGCAAGTCAGTCTTGAAATCCTGAGCAATTTCACGAACGAGGCGCTGGAAAGGCAGTTTGCGGATCAGCAGCTCGGTACTCTTCTGGTAGCGACGGATCTCACGCAGGGCCACGGTTCCGGGGCGATAGCGATGAGGCTTCTTCACGCCTCCGGTAGCTGGGGCGCTCTTGCGAGCAGCCTTGGTAGCCAGTTGTTTGCGTGGCGCTTTGCCACCAGTAGACTTGCGAGCGGTTTGCTTGGTACGAGCCATCGTCAATTTTATTTCTTGCTGCTGCACACTGTTCACTTCACGTTTAAAAACACAATAACCGACTGTCGATTCGGCTACCTACTTATATAGGAAAACGGCAGGGTTAAAAAGAGAGAGAAGCAGAGGCATCTCATTTGCCGACAGAAAAACGAGACGGAGATATCGTTCGGACTCGCTCGTGTTTCCGGGGATTTAGGTATAAATAAGGGAGCACAAAAAATTTTGGTATTAGTTCTTCAGTGACTTTCGTGCGGTGTGTTAATATTAAAGAAAAAGTGAAAAATGACTGGTCGTGGTAAAGGAGGCAAAGGTTTGGGAAAAGGTGGCGCCAAGCGTCATCGCAAAGTGCTGCGAGATAATATCCAGGGTATAACGAAGCCAGCTATCCGTCGTTTGGCTCGTCGTGGCGGGGTGAAGCGCATTTCTGGTCTCATTTACGAGGAAACACGTGGCGTTCTGAAGGTGTTCTTGGAGAACGTTATCCGAGATGCCGTCACTTACACCGAACACGCCAAGAGGAAAACTGTCACAGCCATGGATGTTGTGTACGCCCTGAAGAGGCAAGGCCGCACACTGTACGGCTTCGGCGGTTAAAAAAAAATTAGTACGACTTGTACTTCATTCAGCAATCGGTCCTTTTCAGGACCACCATTTCATTTTCCAATAGATAAAAGTTTTCAAAAAGATTTTTCGTTTCTTTGGCGTCTTCTGGGAACTTACATGAATGTAGATAGTTATTATACGAGAGTATTAGAATAAATAATTTATGCCGACCGTTTGGTCGCGTAATTCAAGTAGAAAAATTTCTTTTATATATCGTGCTCGCTCTCAACAATATATTTTGTACAGACTGTACTGTACGCCATTCAGACACCGGCTAAATGTATTAAGACAACAAAATTTTTTTTTTCCAGTTTGTCCGCCAAATGCAGCTCACGGAAGAGAACTATTCGGTGGCTTGGGGATTGATGATCAAGAGGTACAACAATCCTCGCCTCGTTTTCGCCCACCACATGAATGCCATCTACGCGGTGCCTAGGCTACAGAAGGACAACACAGAGTTAATATGGTCGATGTTAAGCACGGTCAATGTTTGCCTGGCTGTATTCCGCCGCGTTCAATCCTTGGACGGGGAATTGCAGTGGCTGGCACACTACGTAGCATTGAGGCTACCAAAGGAGACCCACAACGCTTGGGAGCACCATCAGGGAAGTTGTTCCACAGTTCCATCCTACAGAGAGTTGGAGTAATTTTTAAACGATCGGCTGGTTGTAATGGATGCGATTGAGAACCGAGGCTCGTCGTTCGACTCCGTTGCTGGCCCAGGACCTCCAGACCCTACCAAACGAGTGCGAGTGCACAGTGCACAGGAGCACGCTAGGCGCCCTAGCGGCTCCTGTTACCAATGCGGCGGCGACCATATCCTGCGTCGTTGCTCAACGTTTTTGACCCTAGACTGCTACCAGAGGAAGGACATAGTAAGCAGGGCTAAATTATGCATTAATTGCCCTTTCGCGCTGCACGAGTAATAAGGGTTGTCAAGTTTGTGGGCAGCGTCATCACACATTGTTGCATTTCCCTGTTTTGGCTCATAGCCAGTCGCCGAGCGGTGTGCCGCCGCATCATGTGGCGCCGACTCCTAGTGCACCTGCAAATAGGGAGAGCGTATCTCAACAGCGCAGGCAGCCAACGACAGACCAGAACCCCGGCGCATCTTACGTCATCGGATCTGTCTTCGAGAAATGTCCTTCTCGCCACAACTCGTATCACCGTGAGGAATTCGGTCAACGGACTGCACGCTGTCATAAACGCCCTGGTCGACCAAAGATCGGAGGCGACCATTGTCTCGTAGCGATCTGGCACCCGAACATCGATTTTTGGGATGGGGCTTGGGGTGCAAGTGTACTTTCAATTTTTAAATCCGTAGTAATGTTAACCCTGACTTTTCAGTAGTCGTTGATTCCGCGTATGTCCCGAATAAGGACTGTTTTAAGTTTAAGGTCTATTTTGAGATTCCAGCTAGGTTCACCAAACGGTGAACCTGGGTGACTCCCACAAGGCCCTTGACTATACCTAGAACGAAGCTGAGTGGCGCAGTTTTGGCCGTCAAGTTGGTGAAATGGCTTACTTCGGCTAAGTGGAAAAGCGACCTACCCATCGAATCGTTCTACTGGACGGATGCCACAATCCTTTTACACTTGCTGTACGGAGACATCACTAGTTGGAAGACGTTCGTGGCCAAAAGGGTCGCGTTCATTCTGGATCATTTTTTGCACTCGCAATGGAGGCATGTGGGCGTGACTGAGAATCCAGTGGACTGTGCGACAAGGGGACAGTCTCCGGGTGAATTGAAGGGATTTGGCTTATGGTGGCGAGGCCCTGAGTGGCTTACACGCAGTCCTAATGTCTGGCCTTCTATGGAGTTCGAGCAGGTCGACATCAACGATGCCGCACTAGAGGCGAAGGCGGCCAAAGTACGAGTTCACCACGCAGTCCCGCTTCCGTCGTTCGTTGGCAAATTTTCTACTTTCAGCCGGGCTGCACGAGTCACGGCCTATGCGTTGCGGTTCAGGCACAATGCTGTCGGCAAGGGGGAGAGGCGCATCGGCCCCCTAACCATTGAAGAGCTTGACTTTGCTTTAGGGACTATAGTGCGCATCGTGCAGCGGGAATCGTTCCCAATGTATTTGGCTGCAGTAAGAGATAGTAAACAGCTACCTGCGCGAAGTAAGCTTTTGAGCTTGACGCCGATCTTGTCGGAAGGCATCCTGCGAGTGAGGGGACGACTACGGCATTTTAACTTGCCATATGAGCGCCGGCATCCGATAATACTCCCAAGTTCACATCATTTCACTGAGCTGGTAATTCGGCACTCGCATGTTTTGACTCTGCACGGAGGTGCGCAGCTGACGATAGCGCATACACGCAAGCGGTTCTGGATAGTGACAGGAAGGCAGGCAGTTCGAAATGTGCGGAAATGTGTCCAGTGTTTCCGGGCACAGCCCTTCGCTTCGGCTCAGCTCATGGGAGACTTGCCGCTTCATCGAGTGAACCCCCCTAGTCGTCCATTCATTGCAACGGGAGTTGACTACACAGGCGCTATTGAGCTCAAGGCAGCACGGTTGCGAGGCACCAGCTTCTACAAGGGGTACATCGCCGTTTTCATTTGCCTTGCAACAAAGGCAGTGCATTTGGAAGCGGTGACAGGTCTCACCACTGAGCATTTTTTGCTGGCGATGGACAGATTCACCGGGAGGAGAGGGATGGTTCAGCACCTCTACAGTGACAACGGAACCAACTTTTTGGTGGCGGACAATCTAATGAAGAAGTTCTACTGTAAGCTTCAAGAAGATTACGATCAGCTTATAGCTCCCAAGCCCCGTGGCACTTCAATCCGTCTCAGTCGCCCTTTTTCGGCGGGCTGTGGGAGGCTAACGTGAAGTCTGTGAAACATCACCTAAAGAGGGTCATTGCGGATCGACGGCCCACCTATGAGCAGTTGACTACGGTGCTTATAAGCATAGAAGCATGTCTCAACTCGCGGCCGCTTTGTCCTCTCTTAGCGGACGCAGACGACCTAGAGTTGCACGCCGGCTCATTTCTTGATTGGTGACTCGCTGCATGCTCCTCCTGAGTTTCGCCCACAATCCAAGTCAATCCAAGCCAAGTCCTTCGCGAGCAGTTCCTGATCCAGCAGGTAATGGTACGTCATTTCTGGAAGGCTTGGAGTCGGGACTGGCTCGCACATCTACAGCAGAGGCCCAAGTGGTGCCGCGAGGCTGAGGGACTGCATCTTGACGACCTCCTTATCATCAAGGACGACCGTTTTCAGCCGTCGCAATGGCTACTGGGGCGCGTCGTCGAGCTACACCCAGGGACGGATACGTTGGTTCGAGTTGTCACGCTTAAAACCAAGCAAGGCCGGTTAAAGCGTTCGGTGTCGAAGCTCTGTCCACTGCCGATCCGATCATAAGCGCCCTCACATACACACCCCAATTATAATTAACTTGTTTCTTATGCACACTTCTTGTTTACTTTCCCATACTAGATTCTACCCCACAACCAGGATGGACCGGAAAAGCGAAGGTTTCTCATGCTAGGCCTAGCATTGGGTCTAGCATGTTAAGTTTGCTGCTTGTCCCAGTGTGCTGGAAGCTGGGAGCGGGGAGCGGAGAGCAATCAGCTGATCGCTCTCGCACTTTGGGACGATGCGTGGGAGCGAGAACGAAAACGGGAAGAGGGCAAAGGTAGCCGTCTTCGGCAAGCGAGAGAACGCGCACGTTGCATCTAACGCGGGACGCTATTTGAATATGTTATATATTAATAAACGTGAATTTTGTGAATTTATCGTTTAGTGTTTTGCATTGCATGGGAGCCCCTCTTACAAATATAAGGGGACACAACTCTACAGTGACTGTCAAAACAAACAAACAATCAAGCAAAGTGGATAATATTGAGATCGAAAAGTGTGCTAATAAAACTACACATGAGTACCAAGTGCTAACCAAGCCAAGGACGCTGTAATGCACAAAAAGAAAATACTACGACGTGATACTTATGAAACAGTAATCATGCCAAACCAGAACCCATCGTCCACCAGTGCGTTGCCATCAAAATGATGACGCACAGCCTTCAAAGTCGCATGCCGCGAGAGCTGCATACAATAACAACAAAATCACACTGTGGAAATTGACGACTTAAGTAACATGGAGTTCGAAAACGAATCCCTTAAGCGTAAACACAAGTCATTATCAGAGAAGGAAAGTGACACTCCGTCTAAGAAATCTGATTACTCCGATTCAGGCGATGAAGAAGAACAGGAAGAAATCGTGGCCTCTTCGACGAATGCAAATGTATCAAAAGGTAACATTATCGATCAATTAATCCAAGAACTCCAACTAATGAAGGAGGTCATCAACGTCCTCCAAGTATAACTTCAAATAGCAAAAACGGATGGGCAAATAACAAGAAACACCCAACAACCAGCACAGAAGAGGTTAACAATCAAGTCCTGGAATTTCCTGCGCTGGAACTTGTAAGACAGTCTAAGCCAATGTGTAATGCAAA